TTACATACTTGTTCTGTTTCCTCCTTCCCCAAACACTTTAACTCCTTATGGGATAGCACATGGGAAACAACCAAGTCTCAAAAAAATCCTGACCACCAACCTTCACCTCTAGTTCAGCTACACTTCCAGGGTCCCTTTAGCTTCCTTTCCAAAAAGCAGATGTTTAAAAAATAAAAAAAATAAAAAATAACACAACACCAAAAGAAGTACTGACAGCCTATCATCACTGTAACACTTCAACATCACAGCACATTAAATGGCTCTTGTCTGGATCCTCACAGAGGGAATCAATATTTTAATTTGAATGTAGAGCTTTTTCAATCATTTCTGTGTTGGAGCTATCTGTGTCGCTCAAGTTACTTTCTTTTACATGTCACAATGATAAATTCAATTTTACTCAATATTAACTCCGTTTTACGCAGAATGTTCACATCCTGGGGATAAAAGACACTGTATAAATGTTAGGTATTATTATTTGTAGTCATTTACTGGGAGCATTAATAAAAAAATATATTTCCTGAAAAGCATGGAGATTAAATTAATTTAAACATCCTTAGCATATTTTAAGTGCGCTAAAGCTCATATCCAATAGTTATTGAAGTCAATGGCAGGATTATTACTCTCTTCAATGGCCTTTGGACCAGACTGTGAAGCAAAAATACATAGTGAATGTGAGTGGCAATTTGGCTTATGCTTAAATAAACCCAGGGCACACACAGCTAAGACCAGACTTTTGCATCACACCCTGAGCGAGCTCAGGTGCGTAGTGCAGTCTACTACCTGCATTTAAGACATAAAGCATAACATTAATGCTTTTAGTTTATTTCCTCAATAAATTCGTGGCTCTCATGAGAAGCAGAATACGCTTGACAAGCCTGGATACCAGCAAGACAACCACAAAATCCAGGCATAATTGCTGGTTGCTCTTTGTTACTTCCAGATTGGGGACAATTTCTACCTTCATATTCTGGATAATTGGCTGATTTCTTAAAGGAAATCTCTGTACATCTTATTTTCTGAACAGCATGTTGAATCACAAATTTTCCACTATCAAGGAAATGCAGCATTTTCTGAGTATTCCAAGGCAGAAATTATACATCTGGTTTGTGACTCATGGCTAGTAGCCTTCCCCCTCATTCTAGGCTCTTGTTAATTTAGGAAATGTACACCTTCCTACATTTGCTTCTATTGCTTTCAAAAAAGAACCGTAATAGAATCCTATTGGAAGACTAATTTTCTAGCTAGCTATTGCATTATGATTTTACAAAGAAAAGAACTAATGCACTCAAACTTACAGGCCCAATTTACAAGGGTTTTATGAAAATTTGTATGAAACGACGTTTTGTAATTCATTCACTTCCCCATACCTTATAGTCAAACCAACCTCCATGGATTTTAGAAGCTAAGATTTTTTTTTATGCTAAGCTTGAATAGTATGGAGGGGCTTTACCTGAAAAAGATAAATAATTAAACCTTCACCAGAAGCTACCCAATGAAAATGCTGCCCATTGGGTTTTCTTTCTCACGCTGAACTCTTCTGAGGCAATTCCTTAGAAAAGTACCAAAAATACTCGTCCCTGAAACTACTAATTCACCTTATAAGGCATCAACAATTCAGTATTAAAATTGCAGCTTTTGTCAGGAAAAGTCTGACACTGTTTTTTCAAACGTCCGTTGTCATAACACTGCAGGCTCTTCTCTGCCCACTGCTGCAAAAACAAGCAGGTTGCTCCAGAGTTTGAGGGCAGGACCTGCAACCCACATGCTCGGTACCTGCAGTAGGGGGGAACATAGCCCTCACCGCCCAACCTTCCCAAAATAATGCTGGATGTCAGCACACTGTCAGAGGTGTTGTTTCATACCTGAGACAGCACAGCATCAAAAAACCACTTTTATCTTTAATAAGCATGTACAAATGTATTTTATACACCTACAGAAATAAACATCCCTTTTCATGTATGTGTGCACATATTCACACTACAAAGAATCAGTGCAGGAACATGCACTTCTCCAAAACGATAATGATCACCTATGTTTTATTTGACAGCGGGACAGAAAGAAAGATGGTCTAACAGTTAGAGCAAAGAGATGAAAGATGGAAGCAGGTGCTCTGCACGTCTCATAATACACAATGGCAGTAAGCTCCACGAGAAAATGTAGCCTCCTTTCTTTGACCAAGTTTTAATATCCCTAACTTTAGAGCCGTCTTTAAACAGCTGCCAGTTCCGTCGCTAAAACACCAAACCAGCAGTGGTGGTGTTCCCTACCCCTACAGTCCCTTCCCTGGGTTACTGCTGATGCAAACGGGAAAGGAATAATAAGCAAGTATAGGTACTAAGTCTGGGGATAAAAGAAAGGAAAAGACACATTTTCTGAGACCTGCTATTCCCAACCTTCACTTTGTGCCTCTAGTCTCCATCGTACCTCTCATCCCCAGATCTTTCCGAACCACACCTTGAGCTGATGCTTGTGAGTAGAGCCAGCCTAGCTGTGGATGTGGACCATGTGCCCATCACAGGCCACAAGCACTGACTTTGCTGGGCAGTGTTTTATGTCATTCTGCCCCACCGACAGCACCAGAAGAGACAAGACGGGTGCAGGTTATTGTCTGCATCAGGGCTCGAGTCTCATCCACACAGAAACATCTGCTCATCTCCAAATGGAAAGGGGATTCAAACTGAACATGCAACACATTTGTTCTCACCTCTTGGCCTCTTAATTTTATTTTAGAATAAACATGAACAAACCCCTGAATGTAATTTGCACTTCAATAAAAATATAAGCCACTACATATCCACCAAAAGTTAGATCCAGCTTTCATTAGTTCCTAGGAAATTGCACTGTGGCCAGTACTTAACAATGCAGAGCTCTCAAACAAAATACCAGTCTATACCTTGTCCTTTCTTTTTTCCCCATAGCGTAAAATGCAGGCAAGACCTAGCTTTCCTATGGAGTCCTGGTTCTCTTTCTTTTGCGAATTTAAGACAGAGGTAACTATTTTTGCATGCAATTTCCTCTTAATTTGTATCTTTCGCAACTTGTAATTACAGTGCTT